CGAGACTGAGTGAGTTTTGATGGCTTAATTAATACTCCCTCCGTTTCAGGTTATACGACGTTTTGACTTTGGTCAAAATCAAACTGTTTCAAATTTGACTAAGTTTATAGACAAATATAGTAATATTTATAATACTAAATTAGTTTCATCAAATCAATAATTGAATATATTTTCATAATAAATTTATCTTGGGTTGAAAATATTACTATTTGTTTTATAAACTTAGTCAAACTTAAAGCTGTTTGACTTTGACTAAAGTTAAAACATCTTATAACCTGAAACGAAGTAGTTATTTTCTCCGGTCACACATATTTAAAGTTTAAGATAAAATTTGATTAAATTTTTATAATTTTGACTACCAATAATTTCTTAAATACTTAGTTTAACCAGCGCATATGCGTTTGCATTTTCCTTGTAATTTTTCTATGCAAACCTAAGTCGTGGATTTTGTAGTGGTGGGCAGCTCTATCCAATGATTGCCGTGTATTCTATGTGAAAAAACCATCATCCCTTGAATCAGATGACAAATGACAAAAAAAAAAAACGGATTGCAATCTTGTCAAAGATACGGGGTAACTGGGACAAAGACAAATAACACAATCAAAGATTTCGTGGTTCCTCCCATACCTCTCCATCTTGGCAGTTGGTTCAGACATTTTTCATATTTCCTATGGAATCTTGCAATCTTTTCTTGATTTCTCTAGTCATGCTATATATCTAGACGACTAACAGAATTTCTGTTGAAATCTTGCAGAATATTATATTGTTTGTCCAGAATTAACAAATTAATCCAGTATTTTCTCCATAAATCGATTGAGTACCTACCAAGTGCTCCAAAAAGAAAAGAACAAGATATATAATGCAGTTGCTGGAATACGCTGAAATGCCTACATCTGGGATTAAATTATACTCAAGTTGCAACTCTGTACTTGCCGATCTATTCATCTGTATACAAGGATCGAGCACCAACCTTCTAAAATTCTTAGGCTGAGGAGAGAACACCTTTTAAAGAACGAATAGAGACCATTTGAGTTGACAAATTATTTTACAGAAAGATCAAACTCTGAATTCAAATTTGATTATTTGACCCATCTCATCAGTGTGTGTCTGAACTCTGAATAATGCAGCTTACTATTTTGTTGCATAGATCAAACCAAGATAAGGGTGTGTAAGGGTGTGGTAGTGGTGTTGGCACGTAACGTGATGCGTTTTTCTTATTTTCATGAGCATAGCCTTTCCGAAAGAGTGATTTTGCAGTCCTTAAGGAGATACTAGTAGGTACCAAATTTGCGCTAAAACTTTTGGTATCTCTCAATGACTGTAAAATTTCTTTTTTAAGAAAAACTTTAAAATTTTAATATGAAGATGCATAATTCTTTTGCGTATTTTTGAAGAAAAAAAAAGATGCATGGTTCCCTCTCTGAAGCTAACAACGGTATGAAGCTTTATGTGATCACGACATCTCAAGATTCTCACATGTATGTTCTAATGAGCCATGATTTGTGAGTGAGCACAATCCAGCATTTGTTTGAGAAATGGAGCAATCCAACAGGCCAACTGTACTAACCTCCTGTATGGATAGGAGAGAAAAAAAACGAGCCTGCAAAAAGAAAAGGAAACAAGCCAAGGCAGCATGCATGTGAGCTAGCTCCAACATATTATGTTCTTTGTCACTCACCAATTAGCTCTCTCTCTCTTGGTAGGTGAAGCATCCATCACTCGTACGGAAACCTTCTTGTCAGTACAACAAACTGTTGCCATCTCTGAAGAAAAAGAAAAAAGAAAAGAAAAGAAAAGGGGATGAAAAAACATGCAACAACTTGTGGTTGATCCATGCACCATCAACTGAACCTCTGAAAGACGGTTCGACACTTCGACAGGACAGTGTAATGTAATGAGGAAAACTGCACCGGCCTAGCTACTGAAATTTTGTACTTTGTATATTTCATATTGGAAGTTAGTTTGAGAAGCCGTTTAAAAATATAAATTTAGATATGAACATAGATAAGCACTTGTCTAGATTCATAGTTAGGATTGGATTTTTTTTTATGGAGGGAGTATATCTAAAGTTGTGATTCAATTATTTACAGATAATTTAATACAGAAGATTTGCGTTGATCAATAAGTAGTTATGGGGAAAAGGCAAAAAGAAACATGAATTGTCTTTTCAATGTTTTGGCAGAAAACAGTCTACTTTTTGTGTTGTTCCTCTCCTCAAATTAAAGCTGAGAACTAGGGCCAACAAGACCCCAGGAATCAATCTAGTTTTGGTATCTGAAAACCTGAGGAGCACTGTAGCAGGTCATATAGCTTCAGTTGTTTGACGGTAACATGATTACATCAACATACAAAAGAATCATAATTTCACTTCCTTGCGACGGGATAATTGTCCCTGAAATATAAAATAAAATATTGGTGAACATTGACTTCTTGTAAATTCTTTGATGTTTTGCACCATTCCGCAAAATAATTTCCAACTTGTTGCGATTTTAAATTCAGACGGCCGGAGAATATAAATCATGGATACACGGGCAGCCAAGACGTGGATAAGATAACATATTTCAATTTTTTTTCTCATATGTGCCAACAACCTTAATGCCGTGCACATGGACACATGACAGTTTTCTCAGTTTGAGTTCATTATATTTTTTTTTCCATTCCCACCCCCCCCCCCCCCAAAAAAAAAAAAAATCTTCTCCAAACACTAGTCCTCAAGGACATTCAAGAGGCTATCTTTGTTCCACTTGTTTCTAACTTTCTGTGAAGGGTGCATTACGACATAACTGATGATGATTCAGGCCAGAGTGATTAATTAGTCTTCAAGATGTTCTTTAAGGGACAAGACACTGTCTAAGTAGTGATTAGGATGGTACCTAATAAGGATTGGGGATTAAGATAATCTCTTTTGTTTATTTATTATTTATTTTCAGAGCTAGCCACCTTTTGGTTGGAAGCTTCAGTAACATGCAGGCCAACATATATGGCCCAAATCTACAAGTGCAATGTACTATTCTTAGGGCTTGTTTGGCAAACCTCAAACCTCTAGATTTTGGAGTTTATAGGTTAAAATATAATGATTTAAGCATCTATTCTTCGTGATCTAAAATATGAACAAGATGGTGCGGTGCAAAGAATTCTTGCAGCTGGAGCTCCACCAAAAGGCTTCTATCAAAATAAACTGGTAGCACACATGAAAGGGTATCAACTAATTTTAACTTTGAAGTACTGTCATCTAAAAATACTAATTTTAAGTTCTGAAGCTAATTAATATATTTCCTGTTCATATATAAGAACTCATAAGATGAAAAATGCAGAAGAACATTTAGATTAAGATGCTAATTAATCTGATCTCTTCATATATCTTTATGGGGCAACAGGTTCAGTTAAAAACATACAAATTTAGTTATGCTGGATAACTTACCCAGCAAATTTTTTTTGAAAGGTTCGGTTGCCCGGTTACACTAGGGAAAATATATGTGACCAGTAAAAGTAAATTAGTATGACGTGAACAATCGCATGCATCAATTTTCTTATCCTACGTCCAGGATTCACTACTACACATGTGGTTTCCACTACATGTATTTTCTCGCTATATATTTTAAGAATGAATAATGAGCTACAGTGATAACCGGCCAGAAACTATATATTGAATTCAGCTGCGTGCTCTTGAATAATTCATGTTAATCAATAGACACATCAAAAGAAAAAAAACATGTCGTTATTGAGGGACCTCCAAGCGTGATGAGGATAGAGCAATTACTTTGCCATAATAACATCATGTACTTTCAGTCATTATTTTTCGCGAATGCGCAAAAGAATTGCATGTCAATATATTTCTCAAAACCTTTTTTTTTTCATTTTAAGTACACGATATGATGTCCCACATTCATTTATTAGCAATGTCGAAATCTCAGATTAATTAACATCGCACAGTAGTTGACGACGTAGAATTCGTTCTTTTCTTTGATCTAGACAGCGGGCAATTGGTTATTTGGATCAGTAGTCAAGTGTTCAGACAGTAACAAGATGAACCATGCATGAGACGTACAAACGAAAAGGCTATACATAGGTGTAGCTCTCAAGACTTCATGCTTGCAAACCTAACTCCTAAGATCGATTGATAAGGCTACGAAAGATGGTGAAAGAAAATAATGTTTTAACATGCATGAAGGGACAAGCTAAAGGTGCCAAATTAGGGGGAGGTCATCTAGCCCTTAAAAATTTAATTGGTTTGTTAATAAGTCCTTTAGCTTTCAAATCTTGGCAACAGTCAAGCACTTAACTATTCTCCCTTCATGAAAGCTACTCCCTAACCACTACTTGTTCATGGGCTGCAAGCATGGTCATTGCACATATATGCTGCCTTTATGTTTATCCACTTTATCTCCTTAGAATGAAATTCTTTTAGCATCAAGATAACCCTAAATTTTTAGCATTGCATTTGCTAATTAATTAGCTACTCGTGGGTAGTAATAGCTATAGCTAATTAGCTACATATCAGGTAACTGAGTTAACAGGTACATCCATGATGTAATTAAAAGGAGTTGGTAGATAGCCCATCTGATCATGCTGATAAGCTAGTGGCATCGGCTGGTTGGGAACACTTATTTTACATCGAACAAAAAGTGAGAGACATGCATGTAAAGGTAGAGCATTGACATGTTCTGTAACTCATGTGTTAGTCATTCACTCATTTGTGAATTGTGAATATACTAATTAATACTAATGTCTTACTAAGTTACATGGCCTCTGATCAATCGTTGGAACTTACCTGTATAGCTATATATGTGCAGGACAGCAGGAGAGCAACTCACCTTAATTCATTAATTTGTACTGCACAACATCTCAAAACACCATGTAAATAACCATGACAATTTTGTACCATTTGTAACCATCTATATATATTGTTGCTTTTAGGAGCATCCATATAGATATCTAATAAAATAAACTGCACGCACAGAGCATAACTAGTGGTAAGTAAAACAAAATGGAAAAAAAAATGAAACAAGGAGAGCAGGAGCGGTAATATATATTCACATATATTTTCACCCAAAAAATATATCCACAGTAATCTCAGCACACTATATTTTTTGGTCATTTATCCCACACACATTCATGTAAGGCATAAACCCTACACGTGCTCTACATTGAAGTTCTCAAATTTTCATCCATGGTAGTGTAGCAACATGGACAAAGGAAACAAACAAAGCCCCTTATCCTTTAGCTCTCCACATGGAGTTACACTCTTCTGACTTTGATCAACAAACCTCACCCCCTCTACCATTGCATCTGCATAGTCCATCCCCTCTCTTCCACGATCATCTCCAATCCCAACTTCCTTCAAGGAAAAAAAAAAGAGACAGGATGTTAAAACAAGACAATATTTTTACTACTTTTCTAGAAACCTGAAAAAAATGGATGGACAATTTATAATAGTATCTTTTCAATAAAACACCAACTGATTATTGATTGAACTTAATTAATTACCTTGGTTAGGTCCCTGGTATTGCACCTCCTTTTAGGGCTCAATTCCAGCTGTGTCAAAGCACTGACCTGAAAGATGCAAATCAAACAGGCAAATCAACACCAACTAGCTAGTAATCTCTAATTTTTCTTTTCTTTATTTCTTTTTTAAAAAAAAAACAAAGACTCTCTAGCTTTAAGCCTTCATAGCAACAAAAATATATAGGGAATTAAGCTAGCTGTAACTACCTTAGGGCTATTTACTGGAGAGCTTGCGGTATCCTCCAGGGAATCATCATGATCCAGGGCCTTGAAGACCTTCTTCTTGAGCTTCTTCAACTCCTTGTACCTATCAGGCAACGCCGCAGCCGCGGGAGCGCAAGACGCGGCGTCGGAGATCATAGAATCTTCCTCTCCTTCCTCCTCCTCCAGCTCCTTCTGATCACTGCAATCGCCATAGACGCCATCTCCGCCATGGGAGCAGTATGAAGAAGCACCATGATCTTCTTGACTCTTCTTCTCCTCCTCGGACATCATGAAATCCACAAAGTAGTCGGTCCAGGTGCTCTCCTCCGGCTGAGCTTGAGCAGCAGCAGCAGCTTGCTGATCTTCACTAGTACTACTGCAGCTAATTATGGCACTCCTCATCACAGATGAGCCACTAACTAAATCCTCCATGCTTTTGATGTTACAAGCAAAGGTGGTGATAGCTAAAGCTGATCAACTTAATCGTACAAGCTTCTATGCTTGTGTTGTACCCAATGATCGAATGGATGAATTAATGGATGGCTTTGCAAAGATGCATACAGCCTGGCTCTCTATATATATAAACAGGAGAGAGAGAGAGAAAGAGAAGAGAGAGGTGTGAAGCTGAATGACATCACGAGGAGGGAGGAGAAAAGAAAGAGTAAGGTGGTTGGGGTGTTAAGATCAACAGTATATGGGCACTGTTTCCGTTACAATTTTTTTTTTTAAAAAAAAGGAAAACGGAGAATATTTTTGCCTTGGTTTCAGAAGTTGCCCGACCTAATCAATCACGCCTCCTCCTTTTTTTTTTTTGTTATAGTGTATACGCAGGACTCCAGCCGCATCCCCTTGCTCATCTGAATCCATGTGACATAGTCTAGCTAGCTAGGCTCTACTCACCACAAGATGATTACTTGTATTCCTTGCATTATATTTAACGGATAAATGCATGCTTCCTAAACTACCAAATGATGCGGCTTTTATTAAAAAGATTTATATATATGAATCTCTTAGAAAATCGTTTCAACTTTATAATAGTTAATTCATTCGGTTGTATCCTTGGATAATTGTCACGAACCAATCGGTCACTCAGCATTTAGCTCAAAAGAATAGACACTTAGATTGTCAATATATTACTGGCAGAAACCTGTTAATTCTCAATTCCCTTGTTATTACCCTCATATCTAACTACGTAAGAGAAGTTTCTTTTAAAAAAATACAGTCTCTCTGTACCTTCTCAAGAGCCTTAAATTAATCGTACTCCCTCTATTTTTATCAACATGACGTTGGTTAGTTCAATTTTAAACATCAAATAAAAACAGAAGGATTTCGGTAATAATTTCCACAAAATTGAGGGGGAGGATATAGATGTGTTTACCTGCAGGTAGTTCAGGATGGACATACATTGTCAAGCTCGCAGCAAACTTTCTGAGGAAAAAGCATATGCCTGCACCAATCGCTGCGTTGAAATTGCAAGCAAAGGTAGGCATGATGAATTGATGATGATGAACATGGCGACACCGGTCTCTGCAGCAGTTGGTCTCTCTCTCTCTGTTGGTTTGGTCCCCGGCCGTTGTTACCGTTACTGACGGACGTACGCACGCACGCACACGTACGCACGCACCGAATCCATCATTAGTGCGCCGCACGTCGTGAGAGCCATATAAGTATATAGTATTCCTTGCAATACGCTGCAGCAATGAGCAATCATTGAGATATCAAACTTGTATATGTATGTGCTCGCGCCGAAGAAACAGTCCGGGAAATTCCGTACCATATGACAGCTTAATTAATTAAAGCCTAATTGCATTCGATCACAGCCTAACTAGGTTTTCAAAGATGGATATCAGTACTAGTTAAGACACCATGATTAATTAGCTCTCAAAAAATCTTTGCTTGCTGATCAGTACTTGATCGGGCCACGGTCGACAACGTGCAGACCAAAACGTGTTGTGTGTATGGGGAGGAGTGATAGATTTATGTCCACTGTTTTGATCTTTTGACACAAACTTGAGCCTTTTTAATTTCCTATGGATTAAGAAGAAGATCAATATAGTTTAGTAACCTCGCTTTGAAAGTGTAGTTAATTGATGGTATCAAAGCCACTTCATTATAATAACAAGTGGCATGCATTTTGCTTGGTCTAACTAGATTACAAGCACCGGTTTCAGATTTTCAGCGAACTGATAATTAATTTCAGGTCATGGGAGCATAACACAGTGGCCCAATCCCCATCAACAACGTATCAGCTACGGCATTTTGGGTGATGACCACATGACACAGGGTGCTATAAGTATGTAGCCTAATTACCTATACAAGATTAATCGTAGAGACAGGATGGCTGACATGCTGATGAGCAGTAGAGTAGTACTAACCACACCTCTAATGGATGATTGATTGGTGCCCATGTGTTGTGGTTGACAAAAACTTCTTCTTTGCATGGCAGCATGGCACCACATCTCCTGGTTTTCTGCATGCCCTCTGGCAAACAGACATTCCTCTGGAAGAAAAGGAAAAGTGAGAAATAGAAAACAAAACCTGTCCCTTGAATGAGTACTGAGAAGGCAAATGTACAACATTTAGAATCTGTCCTGGAGTATGGACTATGGAGGTACAAATTGCACCTAAAAAGAGAGAACATTTCAATAGTAAACTTGAAAGAGATGCATGCAAACAAATAAGACATGAAAGGGATCTGTCATGGTTGCTAAAACGACTTCACATAGACATAATTTGCTTATTTTATCGGTACTATATTTGCAACGTTTACATCGAATTTTAAGTGGCCTAGACTGATTAATATTCTGACTTGTGACTGAAACAAAAGATAGAGCAGCACTGTAAAGCATTTAGTTTCTTCTGTAGGGAATAGCGAGTTTTCATCTAACCGATCGAGTGATAAACAAGTAATTTGTTTCTTCTCTAAAGAAACATTGTTGGCTCGTTTTCATCTGCCTGTTCATTGTCTGAATGAAAATTGATGTTCAGATTATGTGCCTCACAACTTCTGCACATGGCTTGTGTTTTCATAATAGCTAGAATGATTATGGTGTTGAAAGTTATACCTGAATTCGTTTTTGACGGCGTAAATCAAATTAGCACTTCTGGGGTTCCTTTTGACATTTCAGAGCCAAATCATTGAGTTTTTCCCTACTAGTATGTTTGAAGGGCTAATAGAATATGGCCCCCATATAAGAATCCATGGCACGGGAGCATTGACTTATTGGGACAAACATATTAGTGCCACCGTACCTGCCATGACTTGCTTACAAGACCTGAAATAAAGATGAAAATGATTCAGAGGTACATGAATCAAGAAAACAGAAATATTGTATGTGCAAGAACAAATGTAAGGGTAATTAGGGAACAAAAATCCTTTGAGAAGACTAACAGGCTGTACAGAAAATGGACGAATGTGAATTGTAATGTGTTATATAGTACTAGTACTTATCATTATCCTAGTAAATAGTGGGAATGTGGGATCTCAGCTGTTGCTACTAATCCTCGCTTCCTTGGAGAATCTTAAGGATTTGATTTAATGATGTTGTCCATGTTTTAAGCTCAGTGGTGGCAGGCAAAGCGCAGGAAAAACTCCAGCTACAGCTTCATGCTAGCCTGTCTTTGGGACAAAAATCATTGGAAATGCAACTATTACTCCAACTAGTCAACAGCAAGAAAAGGCTCCAAATATTCAGTGCAGATAATTCAATATAAGAAAGAATATGCTGTTCAATACAAGACAGAAACTTAGCAGCATTTCTATGCTGGGAATATTAATACTATGGGGGTTGACACATACTAAGTATGATCTTAGAATAAAACCAGAGAGATGTATGAAGTTAATGGCAAGCCAGTTCATAGGATAGCACGGAATAATAATACTATCAAGTATGTCCTAAATTGCAAAATCATTAAAAAAAATGCAGCGGAAAATAGCTTTTTGTACCTATCAGCAAAATGCAGGGTCCAGCAGTAACTGGAATATTTTATGCCACAGCTCATAGATATTAGGTGCTATCTGGGAACAATCTAGGTGGACCATTAGAGAGTTTAGTCTTTAGGTACTACAAACTAGATATATAGAAGGTAGCTAATCAATGTGATTGCTGAGGTTAGCTGTTGCAGCCAATTTAGAAACATGGATAATTTTGTATGTATTATAGATATACTCCAAGTTAAAAGATAGAGATGCCTGAGAACAATTGACATCAATTGCATGTCTCCAGAACTCGGAAGCTTCAGAACTAATGTACCTGTCAGATTATCAATTGGCAAAAAACGGAGCTGATAATCAACTTAACCATATGGGCATACAGGGAGCAAACTAAAGAAGTTAATATGCAAATACTAAATTCCACCAAAGAAACAGCATTGTACAATCAGGTCACATGGATAGGAAATCTCTAGACATATAGATATATCCAAATTTCACTGCACTAACAGCAAACCTAGTATAAATAGTATGTCGGCAGTTTGTTGCAGGAAGGAACATAAAGGAGAAGCATAGGTCCAAAGTAAGCAATCTGGGTACCATTAGTTAACAAAGATTATTTGCAGCAACAGCGGTGAGAAGATGGAATCTACATAACTTGTGGTGCTTCCAGATGCCACAGCTGCATGTTTGGCCCTAGAATCATCTCCTGTCCCTGAAACATAGTAAAGGTAAACAGATTAGCAAAAGGTAAGGAAAGCTCAAAACAAGCAAAACGTCAGGCAAATAGCAAAAGAAGTACAGCTTTGCATTTCCGACACTACTAATTCCTATCGTATTTCAAATACTTTGTTTACTGAAGGGTACATGCCGGAGATACATATCAAATCTCAGCTGCAAAGAATGCTTTTTCTTGGTGTAATTCCAGGGGGAAAAAAATGCAAACCAGATTGTCACAAAATCAAAATGAAGATCCCAGAAGCAGAACCAAAAGGCACAACCATTAGCTGACAACACAAATTCTTTCCCTATATACTAATTCAACAACGTGAACAGATTTTGAAATCACATGGTCACAGGTTCCATGAAAAAGACCTAACTGATATTCACCCCGTATAGAGTCTACAGAGGCCATAGGGTGATAAAACAATTCTCACAGCATAAGTTTATTCTCCTTGAAGAAGGTAATATTCTTGCAGATCAGGAGATGTGCAACATCCAGAAATTTGCAAATTTTACTGGGATGGAGAACCACTAAAATCACCACAGCCTACAGTCCTGCAAGCGGATGATTGATAAGAGCAGGCAGCAATCAGCCAGCAAAGCATTGATGTTCTGAATTCGAGCCCGGGGGAATCAACCCGTTTCCTGTTTTAGCTCCCTGGACGATAGCAGTATAGCACCAAACCCCAGCACGGCCCGAGTCTCCATCCCATGCCGAAATGAAGTAGGGACCGACAGGGAATCAGAAAACGAGAGGCACCAAACGCTCAGCCCAAAACCACCGCCGCGCCTCCCTCGCTCGCGCAAACCGTCGAACACGTCGCGGGCATCATAGGGAACCTCGTGACCACGAGACCGCATCCCGCACGAGCAGCAATGGCACCATCACCTCGCACTTACCAATGCTGTGAGTTAGCACGCGCGCGCGAAGGCGAGAGAGAGAGAGAGAGAGGGCAGTGGCATCATCCATCCGATATCGCCGCCGCCTCGTTTTCTCGCGCGCGAACGGCGGCGCGGGAGGAGAAGGGCGGGGACGCGGGGAGCCTTGGATTGGAGGAGAGCGGAAGCAGCCAACCAACGGCGGACGGGCCGAGAAACTGAGAAAGAGACGTGGTGGGCTAAGCCCAGGACGAAGCGACTTGATGGGCTGGAAATGCGAGAGGTTTTGGGCTCCGAACGCCAATTTATGGGCCTGTTCGGGACTCCATACACCAGGCCAGATTCGGAAAGCTAACGCGCGCGTACGCGCCGCTAGCGCGCGACTCCATTTAACTCGATTAGCGATTCCAGAGGACGTAACTAACTCAATTAGTTTAGGTTAATGACGGTAATTAATAAAATATTTCCTTTTCTCCGGAATTTTTTTTACTAAAAAAATCTGGAAATGCTCTTTGCCGGTCGCCCGGTGCGGAGGGAGCCGGATCGGGCACTCCCCCCGCGCCCCCTCCCCCACGTGCCTACTTAGGCCCACCTATTTATGCTCCTCTTTTTTCCACAAAAGATGTTTCACATAATGTATTTACAATGTTTCACTATTTATAGATCTAATGTTGTAGTAAATTAAAATACTCTTTTGCAAAAAAAAAAACCCACATATTTTAGAAACTCTCTATTAAGGGAATTTTGTTTATTTTTTGTTCCACCCAAAATGTTTCACCTAGTGTACTCATAATATTTCACTATGTATAGATCTAATGTTACACTGAACGAAACATTCCATTGCAACAAAAAACCCACATATTTTGGAAACCCCTATTAAGAGAATTTGGTTTATTTTTTGTTCCACCGAAAAATGTTTCACCGAGTGTACTCAAAAATGTTTCACTATGTATAGATCTAATGTTGCAGTGAACTGAAACATTCTTTCGCTATTTGCTGAAACATTGTTTTTATATAAGGTGAAACAACACCCAATTTAAACGAGTGAAACATTTTCGATCTACTTAGTGAAACAATTCTGATATATCTGGTGGAACATCTTGCAACATTTAAAAATAATTCAATAATAAGATAAAAGAAAATTTCGTCGAAATATATCCATGCGTGGTCTTGTTTTGAAGATTTAATTGCAATGAATTTAATAGTGCAATCGGATCATCATTTGGATAAGTAGTTTAAGAGATAAATCAGTTTAAAGTAATTTTGCATGTAAATCGGACGCTGACGTCAGCGCCCGATTTTACCCTCTCCTGATCGGACGCCCGACCAGGAGTCATCCAAAAAAATCTATACGTGAAAAAAAATTCTCACTTAAAATTTAAAACTTTTAACTCAAAATTTGAAAATCTAAATTCAATTTTTTAATATTTTCAACTAGAAATTTAAACTTTTAACTTAGATTTGAAACCTTTCGACTTAAGATTTGAACTTTGAAGTCAAAATTTAAAAAATTTCAACTTAAACTTTGAAAATTTTCAACTCGAAATTTAAATTTGTAAGACAAATTTTAAAAACTTTCAAGTCAGATTTGAAAACTTTCAACTCGAGATTGAAAACTTTCAAGTCCATATTTAAAAACTTTCAACTCAAATTTAAAAACTTTCAAATTTTAAAAAAAAGAATGAAAAAAATATATGGAAAATACGCTGAGGGGAGGGAGGCAAAAGGGAAAAAATCACGAAAAAAAAGGAAAAATCGTGCTGAAAATCGCTAAAAAAATCACACAAAAAAAAGAGAAAAATCGGGAAGTCGCAAAAAAAAAAAAGCCACGTGGCCGGTGGAGGGGCGCGCGCCAATTAGCTCCCCCGACCAGATTGGGCCTTAAATAGACACCGTTGTGTGCCCATATAGGTTTATTGAATGGAAAGAACATTATTTTTTATCCTGCATCTGCTTTTATTTTCTCTACGAAGAGAGTGGCTAGGGTATTTCAAAGAATTTTATGAGTTAAGCTAATTCATTTGAACTTCCATTTAAATTTTGGTGTTCGAAAGAAATCAGTACGATGAGCTCACATCCTTGATGAAAAATGGGACTAGAAATATAATCAAGTTGAGCATGTGTACATTAGTTGTGCCTATATGTGCTTTTGTATACTACTCCTGTTCTCAAGCAATAGTTATCTTTTCTAGTGAAGTAAAATCTCCTAGGAATATAAAGTATTTTTATCTCAACTTTAAACTCTCTTAAATAACATATTATCTCTTATATTCGTGGCCTGATAAAGCATATTATTACTTACAAGTTAGTACAACTAATATACTACTAGAGGGTACTATTCTTTCTTATTGTTTTCTTTTTGGAAGATCACTAGCAAAGTAGTGCTACTCTTGCTCGCTAGAACGTTCTGTATGACAACAGTACATACCCCAATCATGTGGCTGTAACTAGCACCACGAGTAAACTTGGCCGGATCTACCTACCGCCAGCCTCTTGAAACCAAAGTGCATGCCAAACAGTCTCCCGTCCCATACTGCCATACATACACACACACACACAAGAGTACACAGCTGAATATATATACGTGATTTCCGTGTGACTACATATACTCAAGCTCACGCACGCACCGTGACCTCACTTCTGATCCGCGTATATATATAATCTGCACACACATTTTGCTCTCCCTTTTCCACGTGGGGCGAGACGTACGTGGCGCGTGGCCATGTACGTACGTACGACTCGCCGATGGAAACAGCAACACGCACGGGGAAACCGACGCGCATGCGCGCACGCCTTGATCGAAACGCCGTGGCGCGTCGAATGATCGCGTGGTGGTGGTGAAAAACCCGCACACGGCGCTCGCGCGCGCCGCGCAGAGAAAAAAAAAATCTCCGGCCGCAGCAGAGGCGCGCGCGCTGCAGGTTGCAGCTGCGGTTGGGCGGGGCGGGGCGGATGCGAACAAAGCTCGCGAGGTGACAGGATAGCACATGCGCCGATGGCCGCGGAAGGAAAGGCTCGGAAGCAGACGGACGGCGCGGCCGCCCGATGCTGGTCCGCGCGGATGCCGGGTTGGTGTGGGCAGCGACAGCTGACAAAACGTACGGCATGATGATGTGCGTGTGTTGCTCCTCATCCTAGCTAGTAGTACGTACTGTACTGTCCTAGTAGCAAGCAAGCGAAACACGGCACGTAGCTAGGAGTAAGACTAAAGCGCAGCTACCAAGCTGTACATAACATATATACGATCGACGATCACTAAACCTCCCAGCGCTGATCGATCGATGGGTAGCAGTCGGCAATGTGTGTGTGTGGGTAGATCGATGGCACGGGTTAAACCGATCTTAAAAGAAAAATGACAGCACGAAATTCCAACGGCACGGAGAGTGAGAGATCGAGTAGGTTACAAATACGTCAGTACGATCCGGAATCGATCAATCGTACGTGCAAGTTGTATAGCATAGCATATGTGTCTGTCTTCTCGATTCCCTGAAAACGGGAGCTTTGCCCATATTCGTCGAATAGTAGTAACATTACAGTACCATTTTTCTTGGACGAGCCTTTCCTAATTCATACAGCACGATCACCCATTGCTAGTTCCGATCGATCTGGATATCTGATCGAGAGCGCCTTCTCCACTCCAAGCCGCGAGGCGATCGATCACCATTCACCAATTTCACCACTTGCTATACTAGCTTAGCAGTAGTTGCCATTCAGGGGAAGCAGCAGAATGGAAATAGCGCGCGGACGCCCACAAAGCGACGACGCGAGCGACCAAATTGCACCCCTAAACGACAGCGCCTTGTGCTGCAGCGTCCGTCCGTCGTCGTACTGGGCTATTGGCATACTCTCTCCGCCAAAAAAAAAAAACCTGATTTTCGTGTCCAACGTTGTACTGTTTTTCTTATTTAAAAAAATTATGAAAAAAATTAAAAATACAAATCACGCATAAAATATTAATCATGTTTTATCATCTAACAACAATAAAAATACGAATTATAAAAAAATTTTATATAAGACAGACAGTCAAAGTTGGACACGAAAACTTAGGGTTTGATTTTTTTTTTTTACGGAGGGAGTATGGTGCATCCCTCTCGCCCCACCCCGAAAAAAAAATCTTCCCGCACAGTACGCGCCCCCACGCCCACGTCCCACGTGACCGGGGTCCCTCACGGACGGCCGAGGTGTGCAGATCGCGCGCCACGCGGGGCCACGGCCTCTCTCCGCCGCTAAAACCCCCCCTCCTATAGCTCCTCCTCTCTTGGCGCTAGCTAGCTAGGTGACCCGCACACGCCGTCACGCAGCGAGCGGACGGCCGCGAGGAGCCCGGGAGGACAGGACAGGGCCCCGCGGCACAGGACGTGTCGACGTGACGTGCCAGTGTGCCCGCGTCGTCCGTTTGGTTTCGATCGTCGCGAGGTACGCGAGGAGAGAAACGGACGACGGATGCGCGACGAGGTCTCGGTCTCGGGTCGGCGTGAATCGCGTGAAGCTTCCGCCTTCCGCGCTCGCGAGGGCGAAGGTGAAACGCAGCTGGTAGGCGGCTACGCTGGTGGTGAGGTTCGCTGTACCGGACGGACGGCGAGAGGCTCTCTCGGGTCGGGGCGTACGTGAGAATTAGCGGTCGACGGTCGTTGCCGGCACAGGGCCGGGATGGCTCTTCTGTTGACGGCTCACCTCCTCCGAGGCTCCGACTAGTAGTGTGCCAGTAGTGTTAGGTTTTGTACCGTTGTGGTGGGTACGTCGTTTTCCGGTTTTACTTCGAAAGAACACCGTTGGTTGCAAATAATTATATTCGACACCAACTTAGTAGTATATTTTTTAAATTTTAATCATTTTCACAGTTTTGTTACAGTACTAGCTCCTTATAATTAAACAGATGATATTCATTTTATTATTGGTTCATATGAGCACCTCGCGTGATGGCGTAAGCCCTTATAATTCTGAGCTTAATTAGGGAGTAGTTAGTATCCATATATATCCTCCTATGAAAATGCATGTTGACATCAATATTGATGTTGATTTTGCAAGGTGGGAGATTTTGCAAGTCTTTGAGCATGTTTAGAATTTCGAAAGAACTCATTTGGCTGCTATATATACGTACAAGCAGCGGTCAAATGAAAAGCCCTCGTATTGTACCACCCAACAACCAAGAGGCAAGCCAATGCCAAGTGGCCAAGAGTGTGAAAACACTTCCCTGAAAATGCTAGGCAAATTCTCTTCACAATTTTAAACGTGCGTAAAATATACGTTATTAGTACTACATGTTCACAAC